TAGAATCAAGACGCTCCAGGTACAAAATATTCTATAGCGAAACCCTGCTGAGCATTGTAAAAACTGTATTTAATTTTAAATTGCTGCAACGCACCCTGGGACCTGATGCTGAAGGAAGAGCAACAAATTTTAATGAGGATGATGAAAATAATAATAATAATAATAATAATAATAATAATAATAATAATAATAATAATAATAATAATAATAAATGTGGTTTTGAGTGGCGCTCGTTGAAACTCAGAGCAGCTCCGAGGAGGCGTGGCTTGCACACAGCCCCCGCTTAAACCCTGGCAAGTGGGCGGGCTCCTGTGCAACCCAAGGGGCGTGGCTTATCGGCCTTTTCCGAGGAGAGGGGCGTGGCTTACTTTTTCCCCACGTGCGCTGCCTGGGTTGGTGCCTGGTGGGCGGCTGATGGGTGGGCGGCGCTGCCTGGCTTGCATCTGCCCGCCCCCGTCCTGCCCTCTCCGCCTCCTCCAGCAACAGCTGCTGCTCCTGCCCCGTCGGGCCGCCCCACATTGTGACACAGGCCTGGAGGAGGGGGGAGGGCTCTGCTCTCCATGTCGTCCGCTCCTCCTCACGTGCAGATCAGGCCCCCGGCCCCAGGGAAGGGGAGGTTGGAAGGGGACGGGAGGAGAATCAATGACCCCGACCCTCTCTTTTCTCCAGACGGAGAGGTGCCGGGGCTCCGGGAATGCAGCCGCAAAAGCGCCCGTGGGGCTTGTATGTGCGGACTGATCCTGCGCCCCGCCCCTTTCTCCGTTTTTGCAATCGGTAGAGAGGAGGCAAAATGCACTCTGCGTGTGCTCCGAGGCCGTCTCGCTGTAGGTTGAATCCCCAGTGGCATTAACAGATAAGGCTGGGACTAGACCATGCCTGAAACTGAGAGGTAAAGGTAAAGGGACCCCTGACCATTAGGTCCAGTAGTGGCCGACTCTGGGGTTGCAGCGCTCATCTCGCTTTATTGGCCGAGGGAGCCGGCGTACAGCTTCCGGGTCATGTGGCCAGCATAACTAAGTCGCTTCTGGCGAACCAGAGCAGCGCACGGAAACGCCGTTTACCTTCCCGCCGGAGCGGTACCTATTTATCTACTTGCACTTTGACGTGCTTTCGAACTGCTAGGTTGGCAGGAGCAGGGACCGAGCAACGGGAGCTCACCCCGTCACAGGGATTCGAACTGCCAACCTTCTGATCGGCAAGTCCTAGGCTCTGTGGTTTAACCCACAGTGCCACCCGCATCCCTGTTAACAGATAAGGCTGGGACTATCCCACGCCTGAAACTGAGAGGAGGTATGATAGCCATCTTCAAATATGCTATCACTTGGAAGATGGAGCAAGTTTGTTTTCTCCTGCTCCGGAAGGTAGGATTCAAACCAATGGCTTCAAGTTACAAGAAAGGAGATTCCGACTAAACATCAGGAAGAGCTGTTCAGCAGTGGAACGGTCTCCTTTGGAAGGTTGTGGATTCTCCTTCATTGGAGGTTTTTAAGCTGAAGTTGGATGGCCACCTGTCATGGATGCTTTAGCTAAGATTCCTGCATTGCAGGGGGTTGGACTAGATCAGTGTTTCCCAACCTTGGGCCTCCAGCTGTTTTTGAACTACAATTCCCATCATCCCTGACCACTGGTCTTGCTAGCTAGGGATGATGGGAGTTGTAGTCCAAAAACAGCTGGAGGCCCAAGGTTGGGAAACACTGGACTAGATGACCCCTGGGGTTCCCTTCCAACTCTACAATTCTATGATTCTGTGAAACCCTGGACTTGGAGAGCTGCTGCTAGCCAGTGTCTGCAGTGCTCAGCCAGATGGAATAACAGGCAGCCGACTTATACTGAGTCATGCTTATTTAATTCAGCTGTGTCTTTTTTAGAACCATGAGGACTAGAATCTCCCATTTATTTTTAGGGGAAGGGCTGTAACTCAGCGGCGGAGCATCTGCCTTCCACGACAAAGGTCCCATGCGCAGCCCCAGCAGCATCTCTAGGTAGGGCTGGGAATCTCCCTTGCCTGAAACCCTGGAAAGCCGCTGTCAGTGTTAACAATACTGAGCTAGATGGACTGTGGTGTGACTGGGTTAAGGCGGCTTACTGAGATAGAGAAAGGGTCGTGGCTCCATGGCAGATCAGGAGGGTCCCAGGTTCAAACTTGCCAGGTTTTCAGATGGGACATTCCCAGTCCTACCTGGGGAGGCCATTTTGGCTAAACCTGAGGCCTTCTGGATGCAGAGCAGATGCTCTCCCACTGCACTCTGACCCTTCTTGTCCTCTCTGTGGCAGCAGGGCAGGCCAGCATCCCTCTGCAGGAGTTGGAAAAGGTATCTATGTCAAGGTGTGCCTTTCCTCTTATGCAGAAAAGAGGAAACAGGCTTTGATGCTCCACACGAACATAGGAAGAGTCTGCTGGATCAGGCCAATGGCCTTTCTAGTACCGTATCCTGTCCATACAGTGGCCAGGATGGTTAAGAAAGCCCAACAGAGACTCCATCTCCTCAGAGTACAGTGGTACCTCAGGTTAAGTACTTAATTAGTTCCGGAGGCCTGTCCTTAACCTGAAACTGTTCTTAATCTGAAGCACCACTTTAGCTAATGGGGCCTCCTGCTGTTGCCGCGCCGCCGGAGCACAATTTCTGTTCTCATCCTGAAGCAAAGTTCTTAACCCGAGGTACTATTTCTGGGTTAGCGGAGTCTGTATCCTGAAGTGTATGTAATCTGAAGCGTATGTAACCCGAGGTACCACTGTATTGTGGAAGAACGACATAAATCAACATTTGATGATCTCCTACCGGTCAACAATAGAAAGTGTCCTTTCATACTGCACCACGGTGTGGTACGCTGGTTTGACATCATCTGATAGGAAGTGCCTACAGAGGGTGATGAATACAGCACAAGATATTATGGGCTGCCTGTGAATCCGCTGGATGAAATAGCGAAAGAACGTTGTCTCAGGAGAGTTAGGAAAATTCTCAGGGATGATTCACACCCTGGCCGGCACTTTCTTGATCTCCTGCCCTCGGGCAGAAGATATAGAAGCATGATTAGTCGCACCAACAGGGTCAAGAACAGGCTGCTGAATGAAAAGATAACAACAGGGCAACTGACTTTCGGGTTTGGTCAGTAAACAAGGGGAATTAAGACTAAGAGAGAGAGTGAGGGATGGTCGTGTCATCCCACTGTATACAAGTTGTACAAGTGACAGTAAAGTATTTCAATTTCCAACCAGATGCCTCCATGGGAAACCAACAAGCAGGACTCGAACACCAGAACACTCTCATTTCCTGTGGTTTCTGGCAACTGGGATTCAGAAGTGGTGCTGTCTCCAACCTTGGAGCCTGAGCACAGCCATCGCAGCTAGTAGCCCCCGATAGCCCTCTCCTCCATGAATTTGTCCAATCTTCTTTTAAAGCAATTCTGTGAGTCTAAAGGGATGCGGGTGGCGCTGTGGTCTAAACCACAGAGCCTAGGGCTTGCCAAGCAGAAGGTCAGCAGTTCGAATCCCCATGACAGGGTGAGCTCCCGTTGCTCGGTCCCTGCTCCTGCCCACCTAGCAGTTCGAAAGCACATCAAGTGCAAGTAGATAAATAGGTACCGCTCCAGCGGGAAGGTAAACAGTGTTTCCGTGTGCTGCTCTGGTTTGCCAGAAGTGGCGTAGTCCTGCTGGCCACATGACCTGGAAGCTGTCTGCGGACAAACGCCAGCTCCCTTGGCCTACAGAGCGAGATGAGCGTACAACCCCAGAGTCATCTGCGACTGGACCTAATGGTCAGGGGTACCTTTACCTATGAGTCTATAAGCCCCAAATGCTACAGCTTTTCTTCACAGGGCAGTCAATCCCCTTCATCATTTGCATTTCCCTTTTCTAAACCTTTTCCAACTCTACGATATCCTTTTTGAGGCAAGGCACCCAGAACTGCAGCTGCAACATAGATTTGTACGACAACCCTTTCATAACAGCAGTTTTATTTTCCAATTCCTTTCCTAAGGATAACCCCTAGCATGGAATTATTTTATTACTCAGGGTGGAGGCAGGAGCTCCCTTGTGGTAGAAGACTCCATTCACAAACACACACACCCTGCCCCAGTTTGTTTGTTCATTCATTTATTTATTATTCGCACATTTAAAGGATTTCAGGGAATCACCCACCCACCAGCACACCTTCATAAAAAATCACACAAAACAATCCTCCTAAATTTGCAGCAGCAAACAAACTCAGCACGAAGCTTTCTTTTAAGCCGGGTCTCCGATAGCTCCCCTGCTTGAGGAGCCTTTTGAACTGGGTTGCCAGTTCATCACTTGCAGAATTTGCTGGTATCCAGGTTCTTGTAATCCTTGTTGTACGGAACCCCCGCAAAACAGATGGCGGCGCTGCGGTCACAATTACAGATGAAAGCCTCACACTCGTTATTCTTTTCTGGAGAAAGAAGATTTGGGAGAAGACGGGGGAATCAGGAGTTCAGGTGCGCTTGAGCCCAGGTAACCCACCCTCTCCCTTTTAGGAAAGTAAATACTGCCCACGACCTTCTGAGGACACAGTCCTCAAATACCTTTGAAACTGCCAGAGTTTAGGTCAGTTACCAGTGGACTTCTGAGTTTGATTCAAAGTGGTAGCACAAGCATATAACATCGTAAGTGGCTTGGGACACAAATTAAACAAATGAGTCCCTTCCCCAATAACAACTATCAGCAGGTGCGGTCTCGGTGGCGGTGCCTCTGGCATGAGGGGTTGCTGACCCCCCTCCCCCAGCAGGGCCTTTTCAGTGGTGGCTCCATGTTTGTGGAATGGCCTCCCTCTGGTGAGGATGCAGTTGCCTCCCTCGTTACTGACTTTCAAGGAGAATTTAAAAACATTCCTGTTCCCCCAAGTGCGCTGGGTGGTTGAAGAATACTGCTCCTGGCAACCGAGAGATCACTGGATGAGAAAATGTTTTAAACTGTTTTTAGAATGTTTGGAAGCATGGGTGTAGCCAGCAGGGTGCAGAGGGAGCAGCTGCCCCCCATCAAATAAATAAAAATACTTAACTAACTGACCAATTGCATCGTTCCCCCTGAAATAAATTCTGGCTATGCCCATATTTGGGAGAGAGAATGGATGGATGTGTTTGCTATTGGGCTCCTTTGGGAGGAAGTGCAGAATATAAATTGAATGAATGAATGAACGAGAACTTAAGAAAAGCTTGCTGAATCAGACCAATGGCCCATCTGGTCCACCATCCTGCTCTCACAGTGGCCAGAAGCATCACTGCCTCTAACTGTGAAGGCAGAGCATAGCCAGTAGAGCTAATAGCCATTTATAGCCTCCTCCATGAATTTGCATGTTTTAAAGGTTGGTGGCTGTTATTGTCTCCTGCAGTAGGGAGTTCCATAGATTAACTATGTGTTGCATGAACAGCTGCTTCCTTTTAGGTGTCCTGGATCTTCAACAGTGGTTCCACTAATCCACACAAACCCTTCAGCCTGAAATTGCCCTCATTCGCTCACTCTCTTTGTAAGGCAGATCCAGTTGACCTAAACGCTTGCACACCAGTGTCTCTGTATCGTCCTCACATATTTTCCGACCACATCTGATTTGTAATCATAGGACTAAACCAGTTTCCCAAACTTGGGTCTCCAGCTGTTTTTTTTGGACTACAACTCCCATCATCCCTGGCTAGCAGGACCAGTGGCCAGGGATGATGGGAATTGTAGTCCATAAGCAGCTGGAGACCCAAGTTTGAGAAGCCTTGGCATAAACCTTTTAACTATACCAGGCATTAGGAAACGGGCCTTTCAGGTGTTGCTGGATTCCAACTCCCATCAGCCAGAGCAGGCATGATGGGAGTTGTAGTTCAGCCATGTGTCGAGGGCACCAGCTTGGGGGAAGGTGCCCTTTCAAGCCTGGGACCAGATCCAAGGTTATAGAATCATAGAATTGTAGAGTTGGTAGAAGGGACCCCAGGGGTCTTCTATTCCAACCCTCCAACAATGCAGGAATTGTATCTGAAGAATCCCTGAGAAGTGGCCATCCAAGCTATGTTTCAAAACCTCAAGTGAAAGAGAGTCTGTTCCACTTGTGGGGAAGAAAGTGTGTGCATTATCAACTGTGCCAGAGCCTCTGCTAAGCATGGCATATGAAGTGCATTTACCTGCACAGGTGATTTCGGTGCCAGAGCAGGTGTAGGAGTAGGTTTTTGTGTAAGGATTGTCCAGGATGAAAGTGCAGTCCGGGTGCTTCTTGGCTGCGGAATAGCAGTTGTCGTGGATTTGGCAGCAGCTGCTCAGGAAACAAAAAGGAAAAGAAAAAGATTCAGAATGGTTCTCCCGGCGCCTGACACAAATTCAGAAAGCTTTCTTGCTGGAAGAAACCAAGCTCTCTACCTAATCCAGTGAGTGGCAAGGCATCCGGAAGAATAAGAAATCAAGACAACAAACTTTTTATAAAAGAATGGAAATGGCTTGCTGAATATTTACAGATAAATTGTAAACAGATAAGAACATTGGCAGGATTATTGTAATCACCTGCAGTTTTATAAGTGTATATATTTGAAGCAGATAAATAAATGAGCAAATTAAGTTAATTTCAGATATGCAGAAGATACTAAAAATAAATTTAAAGAACTACAGAAAGAGGGGGGAAGGAAGTCAAGTTTTGAAACGTTAAAATGGTCGTAAAATTAGTGAAATGTATAAACCTGTAGAGCATCAATATATATATATATTTAAAAAGAGTGAGTGCAAGGTAGGTTCTTCCCAGAAAATGGCCTTCTGCAACCGAATGCCTTTCAGGTGCTTTGACTACAACTCCCATCAAGCTGCGCTGGCCAGGCCTGATGGGAGTTGTAGTCCAAAACATTTGGAAGCCAGGCAGCTGAGGAAGTTTGCTCCAGCGGGACCTACCTCATCTCAAAAACACAATGAGAATACACAATGGTGAGCAGAGGGTTTGAGTGCTTTAAGAAAGATGGCTGCTTACGTGTCCAGGGCATCAATTGGCGTCCCGCTGCCCCCCAAACCACAGTAGCAGCCGTAGTTGTTGTAATCCCTGAGGGGGTCACTGGTTGGCATGGTGCATTTGATCATGTTACGGAATTGCCACAGGTTCCGGAGGACAGAAGCATGGGCAGTGCCCACTAGGAAACAAAGCGACACACATTCACACAAAAACTTCTCAGAGGACGGTGCATGCTCAGAGAGCCTTTCGAAAGCTCCTGTGAGTACGTATCTTTCTTTGGATTTAGGTAGTTTCCCACCTCTATAATGGCTGTATGTTTAAGTTTGCATTTCAGTTCCTTTTTTGTTTTTTGTTTATTTCCAAAACTGAAAAAAGAAAAACATCAAATTCAATTAACTAAATTAAAGTATACCTAATTACTCTAAGCTTCTCTTTGCTGTATACAAATACAACACAGTTAGAAATTTTATGTTAAAGCTTTTATATTATAAATAATATTTCAAATTCCCCTATACCCCCGTTCCCCTTCACCCATGTGTGATCTCATTTTTTTTAACTTCTTCCGTCTTGTGTTGTTATAATTTAATCATTGTTCAATTGATTCTTTTATTATTTCCTTGCTAACCCCTGCATGTTTTACACATTATCGCATTTCAGTTCCTTTGCTCTTTAAAGTGTATTTATTTCAGTTCCTTTGCTCTTTAAAATGCATTTATTATTCCAGTGGCTTGAACTCACCACCCTGAAGCTAAGGGTCTTATGCTCTACTGACTGAGCTGTCCAAGCCATGAACAATGCCGGAAACAAACTAAATATTTCTGCCTGAACCCTGGGCATGCAGGGTTGCAATGGACATGCAGAGTTGCGACAGGCATACTCCTTGGAAAAGCACAGGACTCTACTGAGCTTGTGCAGCAGGAACAATGGAAGGGCCCAGACATGCTCAAGGTCAGGCTTCCTCAACCTCGGCCCTCCAGATGTTTTTGGCCTACAATTCCCATGATCCCTAGCTAGCAGGACCAGTGGTCAGGGATGATGGGAATTGTAGTCTCAAAACATCTGGAGGGCCGAGGTTGAGGAAGCCTGCTCAAGGCAGAGACTCACTGGAAAGAGAGAGGGCCAGAGCAGGAACTCATACAGAGATGTGGCTTACAGTTTGGGCTTCTAGGAGCTCTTTGGCAGATTTAACGCATCACATTACTTCAACTGCCCCCAGCATGCTAGAGCTGTGCTTCCCAGCTAGCTAAGGAAGAAGGGAAGGCATGCAACACTGGAACAAAAGAGAAAACTTTGGAGCATGGGCGTAGCAGAGGGGTGGGTACATGGAGTGCAGCTGCACCCCTAAAACAATAAAAATAAATAACTGACCAATCGCATTGCAGATAGCTCAGTTCTGCAGCCCAAAAAAAGTCCTGCCCCCCCCCCCATAAATCCTGGATACACCCATGCTTCAAGAGGTACACAGAACAACATTCATAGGCCAGGGTGCTTTAAATATTATAAAACTCTTGCTCGGGGCAAATTGTATCCAATGATTTCAAAGAAAAGCAAGAAAACTGTCTTCCAGACCACCTCAAAAACATTTTTAGAAATTTCCCCCATGAAGGGGCTTGTGCAATATTACAGAGATTAGATCACACACAGCGGTTTACACTCCAAATACTTGTGATTGCAATATTTCACTTGCAAAAAAATGGGGAGTTCCAAAGTGGAAGGAGGAAGGAGCCACCAAGAAGACTTTTTTTTTTTTTGCTTTTTAAAGGCACCCATTGTCTGAACCAGACATGCAGATGGTTTCCTCTAAATTCACAAGTTTATTGAACCACCCAAATAGGGGGGGGGAACCAACCCTAAAACCCCCACCTTTCCAGGCCGATCAGAATGCATCTGCAAAGCAAGGAATTTGCAACTTCACTGGGTTGCAACTCACCTGATGCCACGAGAACTAGGAGGAGGGCGAGGTTCATTTCGTCAGGTGTTCAATTCCTTGTGGCCGTCCTTCACTTCCCTGCATCTTTATACCCTGCCCTCCCCTTGGCACCTGGATCCGAGATAAGAGTGCCCTGTTTACCTTTCTATAAGCATCCTTCTTCCGTTAGAGGTTGACCGGGGTGGTGGCTTGAGTGTCAAGCAAGGCCAGTGGAAAAGCAGCCATTTCCCTTTCCAATACACAGCTTAACCTTCGCTAGAGAGGAATCTCGTTTCAAAAACACCCTTTTAAAAACATAACCCTGGTGGTTTTTCCACCACCCTGCACTCTACGTGGGGCTAATTTTGAAGGTGACCCGGAAACTACAACTAATCCAGAATGCGGCCGCTAGACTGGTGACTGGGAGCGGACGCTGAGACCACATAACACCGGTCTTGAAAGACCTACACTGGCTCCCAGTACGTTTCCGAGCACCATTCAAAGTGCTGGTGCTGACCTTTAAAGCCCTAAACGGCCTCGGTCCTGTATACCTGAAGGAGCGTCTCCACCCCCATCGTTCAGCCCGGACACTGAGGTCCCGCTCCAAGGGCCTTCTGGCGGTTCCCTCACTGTGAGAAGCCAAGTTACAGGGAACCAGGCAGAGGGCCTTCTCGGTAGTGGCACCCAACCTGTGGAACCCCCTCCCATCAGATGTCAAAGAGAAGAACTACCAGATTTTTAGAAGACATCTGAAGGCAGCCCTCTTTAGGGAAGCTTTTAATATTTAACAGACTACTGTATTTTAATGCTTTGTTGGAAGCTGCCCAGAGTGGCTGGGGAAACCCAGCCAGATGGGCAGGGTATAAATAATAAATTCTATTCTATTTTATTCACCACTTGATTCAAGCTGGGACTCAACCCACATAGCCAGTTTTTGGTGCCAGGACTAATCTTGGAAGGAATAGCAAAGGAGAACAGTAGCTGGATGCAAAACAGCTTAAATTAGGATTCCCGGGCAGCAGGCAAAACAAATCCCAAATTCCTCCTGCCCCAGGTTGTCTGTTTTAGACAAGGGCCAGGTTGCCCCTGCCAGCCTCCCACAGTTGTTTTGGACTACAACTCCCATCGGACCCAGGCCAGGAGAGTCATATGCTGCTGAGAGTTAATAGTGCGAAACCTCTGGAGGGTACCAGGCTGGAGAAAGGCTAGCTAATTCTGTCAGCACCCTGAGTGATCGAAGGATGTTTCCTAACCTAAGTGGAGGTGCCAGGATTGAACAAGAGAGCCCTCCCAACTGATGGAAGGCACTGATGGTGTCAGGCAATCATCATCATCATTTTATTATTTGTACCCCGCCCATCTGACTGGGTTGCCCTAACCACTCTGGGTGGCTAGAGAAGGATGGTCTGTTCAGTCTCTCCAAGGCCTCATTACATGTGGGTACACGTGTTCAACCATTAACCACTGTCTTGGAACCTACAATCAAAAAGCAAGGCCTTGATGCCACCATGGGCTGCCCACTTGGCACTGACCTGTGACGGGGCCTTTTCGGTGGTGGTTCCCCAGTTCTGGAATGCTCTCTTTGGTGAGGTCTGCATGCCTGTCTCATTACTGACATTCAGGATGGATTTGAAAACCTCTTTTTGCCCAGGCATTTGATGGCTGATATGCACTGTTTCTGGAAACTCTTGAGATCATAGAATGAGGTGCTTTAAACTGTTTTTTAGAATGTTTTAAGAATGCTCTATTTTTTTTAAAAAAATGTTTTACTATGGCTGTGTTTGCCACGCTGGACTCCTTCAGAAAGAAGGGTGGCATATCCATTGAATAAATGAATGAATGAATGAATGAATGATAGAAATGTAAAAGGTAAAGGTAAAGGTACCCCGACTCTAACCACTATTCCACGCTGGCTCTCATTGGCCTTGGCTGCGACAAAAGCAACCCCAAGATGGCTTGGGTGCTTTGCAAGCACTACAGACACACACACACACACACACACACACACACACACAGCACTTAAGCTGCATTCTGCTGGCTAATGACACCTGTGCAAATGGAAATCATTCGTAAATTGATTGTGCGAAAATCAACAGGTGCCCCCCCCCCACATTACCACTGTGCCAGGCTAAAAGGGAAGGAGAAACGGCTGTTTTTAAAACGCCTCCGATTGGGCAACTCACTCCAGCTTAGGGTCAACAGCAGACCCACCACGTGGCTATTCCTCAGTTCCAAGAATGTCCTCGTTTCCCAGTACTAAACAGCACATCAGCTCGAGTGGCCAGGAGGGCCTGCTCTCAGGACATTGGCGGCTGCCCAGATTTCCAAGACGTAACAGGACACTGGCGGCAATCCAGTTCCAGTCCATCTACAGACCCCAAGCCCTGGGAGAGCAGCACTTGCGAAGGAGCAGGCTGGCTCAAGGGTTTGTTGTGGGGAGGCTGAAATGGATGCCTATTGATTTCAATGGGGCAGAATATTTTCATTTATTAAATTGGTGCACCACCCTCCAACCACAGGGCAGTTCACGACATAAAAATACAAAACAAGGACAGAAAATGCAAAACGAAAAGCAACCAGTAACACACACACACCCCAAATCACTGGGTGACCTTGGAAGCCAGTCACTCTCCTCTCCACAGGGATGTTGTGAGAATAAATGGGGTTTTGCCTTTAATACAGTGTTTCTGCTTTGAAATATGCTGTTCATCAAAGATGGAGGCCTTGATCTGCCCCAGGAGTTGGGAAACCGCAGCCCTCCAACTTCCATCAACTCCAGCCAGCATGGCCAGTGGTCAGGGATAACTGAGGCCCACAAGTTCCCACTTTGTGACGGATTCTTCTGCTTCTTGGCTTTCTTCAGGGTTTGGAGTCTCAGGTAGAAAATATCAAATGCCATTGGACCATCGCCACCACACCACAACATAGGAACTTAACGAGGCTGCCTGTTACCTGCCAGATCACTGATCCATCTAGCTGAGTGCTGCCTACACTGGCTGGCAGTGGGTCTCCAGGGCTTCAGACAGGGGACACTGAAGGTGCTGCCGGGGATTTAACTTGGGGCCTTCTGCATGCAAGGCAGGTGCTCTGCCTCTGAGTCACAGCCCTTCCCTTCATCCTTTATAGGTTTCTAGAAGCTCAGGAACAAAGTGGAACATGCTTTACACTGAAGGAGATCATTGGTTCGTCTAGTTCAGTGATGTCAACACTGGCTGGCAGCAGCCTTCCTGGGTTTCAGTCCTATTCCCAGCTCTACCTGGAGGTGTCAGATTGGAGCAGGGACCTTCTGCAGGCACTCCGCCACTGAACAGGAACACGGGAAGCTGCCCTATGCTGAGGTAGGCCACTGGCCTATTGAGCTTACACTGACTGGCAGCAGCTCTCCAGAATTTCAAGCAGGTGTTTACCTGGAGATGCTGGGATTCAAACTGGGAACTTTCTGTATGCAGAGGAGATGTTTTGCCACTGAGCCACACCCCAACAGCCCGTTCTCCCTGCAGGGAGATTTCTAGATGCAAACTCCGCACACATCCATGGCAGCGTTCGCCCCCTTCCAAACCACACCAACAAAGCCAAAAGCCGTTTTCAAATAATTTATTAGGAATTTAAAACTGAAAATCTGGAAAAAGGGGTTACAGGTATGGAGAGAGAACATTGACGTATAATAAAACTGGCTTAATAAAAACCACAGCTTTATTTTTTTTTCTCTTTAAAAAAAAAAGATCAGACACAGCAGCAGTAGCTCCCCCCCCCCCAAATCACAGGCCCTCCCACCCCCCCTGACACCTGGGCTGTTGCCAAGAGAGTCGCAGTGCAAACTCCGAATCTTGGTGGCGCCGCAGGTAAGGGACGTGGTCGGAGAAGCAGCTCAGCGCGTGTACCGAGGGGGGAGGCACGGCTGTGTGTGTCCCCCCACCCCCTCTGCAGCCCCCCAAGGCTGAAGACTCGAGAATAAAAATAAACCCAATAAATCGCGGCTGCACTTTCGCTTCTTCTTTTTTTAAAAAAAGGACATACAGACTCGTCTCAGTAACAAAAATTATTGCTTTGTGTTTCCAGTACTACGTAATTCGCTAAGTTATCCCACCCCACCCCCCCGCTCCTTCCCTCTCCACCCCTCCCCCACCCCGCAAAAAAAGAAGAAAAAGAATAAAAAAAGAGAACTCTCCCAATATTTATGACCTGCTTCAGGTGGGGACTTGGGGTCTGAGGACAAGGCAGCAAGGACATCACCCCAAAGAGAGGGAGGGGGGGCATGAGGCAGAGAGAAAGAGAGAGAACAGAAAGGGGTGGTGATGCTGATGAGCAGTCAAAAGGCTTCACACCTGGACTGTTCCACTTCAGGATGCAGGGGGGCTGCCTTATACAGAGTCAGATGGCTGAGTCCATCTCAGTATTGCCTACACTGACTGGCAGTGGCTCTCCAGTGTTTGAGGCAGGGGTCTCTCCCAGTCTTGCCCGGAGATGCCATTGGGGGCAGAACCTGGGACCTTCTGCATGCAAAGTGCTCTGCCAGTGACCTTCTTTTGACAAGGTGCTAGTCCACATGGTTCCGAGTTAAATAGCAGCATAGGAAGCTGCCTTATACCAAGTCAGGCCATTGGTTCGCCTAGCTCAGTACTGTCCACACTGGCAGCGGAGTCCCTCCCAGCCAAGGATTGAACCTCTGCATGCAAAGTGGATGCTTCTGCCGCTTGGGTTTGGAGGTTCCAGTTAAGGAAATCTTCCCTAGTGACATGAAACCAGCAGGTGAAGGAGGGCTGGGGTACATCACAAAGCACGGCGCACTGGTTTTCTATTTGCATGAGAATGTATGAAGAGCCCTGCAGATGGATCAGGCCCAAAGGCTCATCTAGTCTGGCCTCTTTGTTCTCACAGTAGAGCCAAACGCCCCAAAGAACCTAGGAATTTAGATAAGACTGCCTCTGGACCTGGAGGCTCCATAAGAACACAAGAAGAGCCCTGCTGGATCACGCCAAAGGGGGCCCATCTGGGCCAGCCTCCTGTCTTCACAGTGGCCATCCAGGTGCCTCTTTGGGGAAGCCCGCAGGCAGAACCTGACCACAAGAATAACTCTCCTCACCTGCATTCACTGCTTCCAACAGTGGAGGTAAAACACAGCAGCTAATAGGCATTGACAGCTTTATCCTCCATGGAGTCTCCCCCCCCCCATAAAGCAGCATTAAAACATGCATCTGAAGTGAGTGCAGGGATAAGGGACATCTGTTTCCCTTCAGATGTTGCTGGACTCAAACTCTGAACAGCCTCTGCAGGCTGCATGAAATTTAAGCTGATCCTGGCCAAACAGGTTCTGCAGGCTTCTGATCATTTCAAAAACCTGCTGGACCGAAGTTGTTATAGCAGGACAAAGGAACCCCCCCCCCAAGGAAATGACACCGGCTCTTTTCTGCTACTTTCAACGCTGTTTGAAAAATGGTCACTAGTCATCAGTCTTGAGGAAGCAAAGATCCTGTTTTGGGTGGTGTTGTGTGTCCAGATTTCCACAACCTGGTGTTCTCTGCATTTCTTTTGGACGAAAATTGCCATCAGCCTCCAGCCAGCATGGGCATGCTTGAGTAGATGCCGTGGTCGTATTGGCCGAGGGCTGATGCAGCCCAAAACATCTGGAGGGCACCAGGTTGGGGAAGGCTGGATTTGTCTCTTGCTCATAGGGGCTAAGTTTGAGGAAAGGCGCTAAAAAAATTATTATTATTATTATTATTATTTGACTTAAGATGAAGCTGTGTTTTATTTTCCCTGGGCATAAGTGTCAGACTGCATCTTAAGAAAAGGCTCAGACAAGGTCTTTGGTTCAAGTTTAAACAGATTTCAGACCCAGCCCCGGAAGAGGAAAATTTAAGCTCCCCCACTCCGCAACAAAAGGGTATTGATTTATTGCAACTGGAAATTCTCACCCATGAAGTATTGCATTACACATGTAAAGAGGAAATGGAGCCTGCAACTAAGTATGCACACACCAAGAGGAAGCTGCAAGCAAGGGATGGATGGAATGCTGCTTGAAACAGAGTCAGACCCTTAGTCCATGTAGCTCAGTATTGTCTGCACTGACAGGCAGAGGCTCTCAATGGTTTGGGACAGGAGCCTTAGTTCTACTTGGCAATGGTGGGGGGGATTGGACCCCAGACCGTCTGCATGCAAAGCAGATGCTCTCTACCACGGCCCTTACCCAAACTGCACATTTGCCACATCTGCACGATGTGGAGGCGTCTTTTAACGTTGCCTAAACAATGCAATGGGCAGAGAGACCCTCTCCTGGTTGGCTGTGTGGGAGAAAGGGGCCAGGACAGAGGAACCTGAGACAAGTGGGATTTGCACACACACCCAAACATATTTAGATAGATTTCCTCTTGCCACCTCAAAGATGCTCAGCAGATCCCACAGCTTCCTTCCTTGCCAAAGTGGCAATTCCTTGAAGGGTGGGCCCAAGGCATTTCCGTCCCCGCAAAATGTAGATGACACAACACCCATCCACACCATTCCCTACATGCAACCGATCCAGAAGGAAGGTCCCTGGCATAAGCCTCCCTGAAAGGAACAGCTGTGAAAGAGCCCTTCAGTCAGTAGACGGAACGCAGTGGCTAGTGCCTGTGATGTCACGAACTATGGTACTCTTGCACAGATGCCATTCGTTTCAATGGAGGTTGCATGGGAGATCATCACACTGGACTGATAGCTCCATTGATAGGCGTGTGGGGAGAGGGAGTGGGCGCCACTGGGATCTTCCCCTTCGGGCACCAAAATGTTGTCTTATTGAAAGGCTGAAGCAGAGAGGCAGGGACATGGCTGCAGCATGTCTGAATCCTTTTGCGTCACACACTTTCGCTCTCTGGAGGAGGTCTCACAGGGGTCGGATCTGCCTGCTTCCCACCTTAGTGATGCCCAAAATCCATTGGAAAGGCCACATCTAGATCTGAACTGAGCCACGGCTCGCCTCTGCGGGAGCACTGGTTCCCCAAAAATGGGCCGGGGGGGGGATTCAAGTATGGTAGTCAGAAGCAACCCAAAAACCGACTCTGGGGCAGCAACTCACCACACAGAATGTCACAGACAAAGAAGCTGCCTTGCACAAGTCAGTTCATCAGTCATCTAGCTTATTCCTGTCTACACAGACCCCAAGGTATGAACCTGGGACCTTCTGTACCTAAAGCAGGCACTCTGTACCTCTGAGCTACGGCCCATCCTCGTGGTAGCGAGAAGAGCAGGGAAGGAAGAGTCCTGCAAAAAGGCAAGTAGCTTGAAAATGAGGCGTGCGGGTGAGGCATGCAAATGTCGCCTAGGGAGTGGATAGCCAGCGTAGCTGCTCTTGGGCTTGAGCTCCCAGCAGCCCCACCTGCCAGCCAGGACAGAGAGCATGACTGGCTATGCCTGTTCCAAAGGGAAACACTTATCACAGTTTCCAGCCTCACCATGGCTGTGTACAGTCATACCTCTTGTTACGTTCAGTTCAGGTTATGTCTTTTCAGGTTGTGTCCGGCAGCGACCCGGAAGGGTTACTTCCGGGTTTCACCGCTTGTGCATGAACAGAAGTGGCGAATCGCGACCCGCACGTGTGCGCAGATGCGGGTTGCGTTCCTTTCAGGTTGCGAACGGGGCTCCGGAACGGATCCAGTTCACAACCAGAGGTACCACTGTAGTAGCAAATCTTGATAGAAGGTGTGCGGAAGACAAAGAAAGGCCCCCGCGAGATGAGTCGAAGGAAGATGCAGAGGGCCATGTGCAAGGAGAAATGGATGGGGATTTAACTTTCTGCTTCAAAGAGAGCACTGAATGTGTGCAGAGTGGCCCTTCCCTTTCCACTTCCACCACAGGAGGCAAACTTTGCTCACCTCGCCCCTGACAGGAAGACGGGTTTCCCAGTGGGGTCAGTCTCAGCAAAATTAGCTGTGATCCTTGCATTGCAGGGGGTTGGACTACAGTAGATGACCCTTCGGGGCCCTTCCAGCCCTACAATTCTATGATTCAAATGCGCCTTTCTTAAGAACAAACGGTATCCTGGCATAGTAAAACAGGGTGGGGGATCCAGAGCTTATTCCCCCCCCCCAAAACTCACAGGATCCCTGAGAACCTTTCTACCGGTGCAGATCTTGGGCCACATTCACACCATACCAGTTAAAACCACTCGAAACAGCCATGAATTCCCCGCCCCTACAAAATAATAATAATAATAATCCTGGGAACCACAGTTTGTTTTGGTGCTGAGACCTTCCCTCCCCTTCACAATTCGCCTGGGAAGAGGGGATTGATGGTTCAAGTACTCTGAGAGCTGTAGCTCTGGGGAGGTAACAGGGGGTATCTTAACAACTCTCCGCGCCCTTTGACAAACTACAGCCCCCAGGATTCAATGTGCTTTCGATGTATGGTATGGATGTGGCCTTTACTCACAAATAATGCCCATTGGGTTTGATGGCTGGGTTTAGGAGGGTTTGGGATCACAGCCTAAGTCTCTCTCACGAGCAAAACACACAAACACACACACTTTTTTTGCCTGAATCACCACCCACCTTTACAGTAAAAAGTGAGGGAGATGGGTGGGGGGCGCGAACAGACGCCCTCGACACCCCCGCCCTCCCGGCAAGCTATTGCCCACCCTCTTGGCAGGAAGCAGTAAATATTGGGAGAGTTACATCCACCCAAAGCGTCAACAGAGACCAGCAGTGGTGGCTGAAGAAGCCCTTTTCTAAAGCGGGCGCTGGCACCGTCGTGAGAGGGGGGCACGACGCCCGCATGCTGAGCCTGGCGCAAGCCGCTCAGCAGCGCCCCCTCCGCACCAGATGATGCAAGTAGCTCTCACCCAACTCTTTCCAAACCCGCCCTCCCCCCTGTCCCCCCAACACCCCCCAAGCGCCCTCCTCCTCCTCCTGCTCCCCACCCCACCAGACTCCCAGAGGTCTTAAAATCTTATACAGTAAAAGGTATAAAAAAGGGGGAGGGAAAAGAGGTTCGTCACGGTCCAACTGGAGAGAGTATTGCTCACGTTTTCGGCATCAAGAGGCCCAGAATGAGAAGAGGAAAAAGAAAGGAAGCTTAAGAAACCCAGAGTTTGCTTGGTGCACAACAAGGCGGAAGACCGCCCTGCAATATTTACATATGATACAGGAAAGAGCGAAGGGAAGGGGGCGGAGAACAAAATAACAATAATAAAAACCCACAGAAACCTAAAATCTAGGGGAGGGGAAAGGAGAGGAGGGGGGAATTCAGTCATCAGGAATAGTGTTTTCTTCTTCTTCTTAGTCCACTTAGCAAAATATACAGTTCATTATTCGTTCCACAGCAATAGCCTTCTGCTAATTCGACATGTTTCTCAAAGCCTCACCTTGATAGAAAGAAAAGGTTTCTTTTTTTACAAAAAAAGAGAGAGACCGAGAGAAAGAGAATCTGCCCGATGCAGCGACATCTCCCTGCTCTCTGCCCACCCTTCGGAACTGCCTTCACTTGACATCGCAATGCGTCCTTTCCAAGATAACCTTTTGCTTTCTCATGACCGAGTCCTGTTCCTTCCTCCTGCCCTGCCCACCCCCCAAAATATATATTTATATAATATATATCTAAAAACAAAACAAAACAAAAAGATTTCAAAGCCAAATAAAAATATTCCTCAATAAAAGCTACCCCCTACTCACAATCACAAAAAATAAAATAAAATCCAAATTCATAAAAACGGTTCTTCTGAGAGGCTCTGCAAAAGAGCAAAAAGAACCACCACAACGAAAAAACAATGACAATGAGAGGACTGACTTCACACCTCCACGGTCCTCCTCCCCCAGCACCCCCCTCTCCCTCCCCTCCCCCCCCCAAAAAAGATTAAAAAATAAAAGCTAACAAGCTAACAAAATAAATAAAAGAAGAATTGTCGGGGTGGAGGGTTTGGGGAGAAGTGTAAACGGTCAGCGGTTATTAGTAAGAAGAGGAGACAAGATCTCCTTGCGTTCAAATCCAGTGCTCAAGATCTGGTCAATGGAGAGGTCAGGGCAGGCCGGGAGAAGCCCAGCAAACAGCCACGAGTGTGCAGTTTTATTTACTAAAAATGAAATCTTGGCTCATCCCTCAAGTGTTGCCGGATCCTCCAGGTCGCTTGTCCTTGGTTTGCTCACTGGGGAATCTGCAAGAACAAAGGGTGTGGGGAGATGGAAATTATGGAATGATCGTGCAAGGTTAGCCTCCCCAGAATTTTGCATTTTGCATTCACAGCTGTCTCAAGAGTGTGCAGGCACACCTTCTCGTAGAACCTTACAGTGGTTAAAAGGTAAAGGATCCCTGGATGGTTAAATCCAGTCAAAGGCGACTACGGGGTTGCAGCGTTCATCTCGCTTTCAGGCCAAGGGAGCTGGTGTTTGTCCACAGACAGCTTTCCAGGTCATGTGGCCAGCAGGACAAAACCACTTCTGGCTCAACGGGACACTATGACATAAGCCAGAGTGCACGGAAACGCCGTTTACCTTCCCGCCACAGGAGTACCTATTTATCTACTTGCGCTGGTGTGCTTTCAAGCTGCTAGGTTGGCAGCAGCTGGGACAGAGCAACGAGAGCTCACTCTGTCGCAGGGATTTGAACCGCCAATCTTCCGGTTGGCAAGCCCAAGAGACTCAGTGGTTTAGACCACAGCACCACCTGCCTAGAGCTGAAAGGCACTCCCCAAAGCTAATCTGGTCCAACCCCTTGCAATGCAGGAATCACAGCTAAAGAATCCTTTACAATGCCCAACATAATACTAGACTCCACAATGGGAACATCCCACGAGAGACAAATGGAAGGGCTTTTTCTCACACAGCCAAGCATCTGTGTCAAGTCAATGGGCGTGCCTTTCCCCTCATGTAGAAAAGAGGAAACAGACTCTGAACATAAGAAAAGCCTGCCGATGGCTCATGCAGTCATAGAATCATAGAATCATAGAGTTGCAATAGACCACAAGGGCCATCAAGTCCAACCCCCTGCCAAGCAGGAAACACCATCAGAGCACTCCTGACATATGGTTGTCAAGCCTCTGCTTAAAGACCTCCAAAGAAGGAGACTCCACCACACTCCTTGGCAGAAAATTCCACTGTCGAACAGCTCTTACTGTCAGGAAGTTCTTCCTAATGTTTAGGTGGAATCTTCTTTCTTGTAGTTTGGATCCATTGCTCCGTGTCCGCTTCTCTGGAGCAGCATAAAACAACCTTTCTCCCTCCTCTATATGACATCCTTTTATATATTTGAACATGGCTATCATATCACCCCTTAACCTCCTCTTCTCCTGGCTAAACATGCCCAGCTCCCTTAGCCGTTCCTCATAAGGCATCGTTTCCAGACCTTTGACCATTTTGATTGCCCTCCTCTGGACACGTTCCAGTTTGTCAGTGTCCTTCTTGAACTGTGGTGCCCAGAACTGGACACAGTACTCCAGGTGAGGTCTGACCAGAGCAGAATACAGTGGCACTATTACTTCCCTTGATCTAGATGCTATACTCCTATTGATGCAGCCCAGAATTGCATTGGCTTTTTTAGCTGCCGCGTCACACTGTTGGCTCATGTCAAGTTTGTGGTCAACCAAGATTCCTAGATCCTTTTCACATGTACTGCTCTCAAGCCAGGTGTCCCCCATCTTGTATTTGTGCCTCTCATTTTTTTTTGCCCAAGTGCAATACTTTACATTTCTCCCTGTTAAAGTTCATCTTGTTTGTTTTGGCCCAGTTCTCTAATCTGTCAAGGTCGTTTTGAAGTGTGATCCTGTCCTCTGGGGTGTTAGCCACCCCTCCCAGTTTGGTGTCATCTGCAAATTTGATCAGGATGCCCTTGAGTCCATCATCCAAGTCGTTGATAATGTCCAACCTCCTGTTTTCACAGTGGCCAACCAGATGGCTGTGAGAGCCACACAAGCGCTAAAGCATCTCTCTCTCACACACAAAGTGGTTTCCAGCAACTGGGATTCAGGAACATTGCTGCCTCAGACTACGGAGGCAGAGCACAGCCATCACGGCTATTAGCCGCTGAAAGCATGAACTTGCCCGATCCTCTGTTACAGCCAGAAGATGCAGAGAACCATCCCAGGTCTTACCACTTGACTTCAAAGTACAGATAGGTATCTTTGGGAGGAGGCATCCCCTCTAATATCTTGGACTATGGCCACTTCACCCTACAGTTCAACCAAGAGTTCTAAAACTGTCTTCAAGGACAGACCTATTGAAGCCGAGTCCCCATTGGCCATCTTACCTCCTCCTTCCTTGGTCCTCAGCTTCAGTGGTAACCATTAGTAAACGCTGTTGCAATCAAAGGTCCCTTCAAAACAATGACATGACATTGATTGGACATTATCTGCAGAGCTTTGAACACTCACAATGTACCCTATTTTGTGGGTGGGTGTGGGTGTACTATATCAGGTTAAACTGCAAGGTGACCTTATCCTCACATGTGCCGTCTTGACTGCTTCAATCTGCAGAACTGACACTGTTACAGGTGCCACAAAATTCTCGTTCCACATTTGTAAGGAATGGAACTTTCAGTGTGGCAGCACTTTGGAACTCCCTGTCTGTTGACATCCAGCAGGCAGGTGCCTCGTTTTGTACTCTCTTTGGCGCTTGCTGAAAATGTTTTTGCTAAGGAAAAGCCTATCCAGATACGTAAAATGTAAATTTTAATCTGGGGTTGTTGTTTCTTAAATTAAAAATTTTTTTATTTTTATTGTACACACATAATTCATAACACGACTGACAAAAATGGCTCCTTAAGGGGGTAAAATACTGAATAAAAAAAAGAGTTCTTTTTTGTAAACCGCCTTGAGTGTGGTTTTTTCAGGGTTTTTTGTTTTGCAATCATGCAGTATATAAATTTTATGAACTAAATAAATACATCAAATGACCCAACTAAGTTATCTGGTGCTGCAGAATTGAAGCGCAGAGCACTCTAGCCTTTGTCATCAGAAAGGGCCACTGGCAGGGCTGCACATACTGCCTCCTAGGAAGATAATCATAGCAATGGGGAGACCAGCTTGGCCCCATCCACCGGCCAGTGAAAAAGCAGCTGTTCTAACGCTTGCTTTCCTCTTCCCTCCGCATTCCTATTTCCTTACGTGCTGTACCTATTAAATTGCGAGCCTAGAAGGCAGGGACAGTCTCATAATTTAATATATGCACAGTGCTTGTTTAAAAAATGCTACGTGCTTTAGCAGTATTCAATAATTATGATTGTTACTGAAGGATATATGACTTTAGGCAAAGCTAAAGAAGTCCCGACATTTCTTTAAAAAGCAAACATAAATGAATGTTATGCTACTAAGTCACTGGCCCGCCTTTCCTGTCTGGCAGTGGCTCTGTTGGGTCCTGCTTAGTCCTTCACATCCTTTAATTCAGCCATCGCCAAACTGGTGCCCTCCAGATACTCTGGACTACAGCAACAATGGGAGCTGCAGTCCAAAATGGCCACATTGGCTGGAGCTGATGGGAGTTGTAGTCCAAAACATCCATAGGGCACCAGGCTGGGGGAGGCTGCTTTTTAGAGAGCTCCTTGCTCCACCCCACGGGGCCCTCCAACTCACCCCTAGGCTGTGGCCAAAGCCAGTGCTCGGGGCGGGACTTGCTGCGCTGATGTAGCTGCTGACTCCTGAATCCTGATTGGCTGCTCCGTAAAGCTCCGCCATTGGCCCGGGGCTGGTGGTGCCCAGGAATCCACCGGTGCGGCTCGGGGTGGACCCTACAGGAGGAAGCAGCACTAGCCAGTGAAGATGCCAAAATGAAGGCCCCCTTGTCCCCCCGCCCCACCCCTCACCCAGAACAAATAGAGAGCTTCCCCAAAGCCAGCAAGGTGGCCACCCCCCAGGGAGCACGGCAGTTACCTGTCCCTCGCACCACAGCCGCTGCCGCTGCCGCCGCCGCCATGGGTCCATACGCAGTGAGAGGGATGGCTGGAAGGAAAGGGAGAGACGTCAGAGCAGGCCTGGGCTTCCCCGCAGGGGTGGTGAAGGAGTGGGTGGCTGGTGAATCTGAAGAGCACCCAGGGCCCATGAGCCAGGGATAGGGGAGGTGGTGACCCTCGCCTGCTGATGGGAGTTGGAGTCACTGGTATTCCCTGCTCTCTGAGAAGTAGAATTTCCACGCAGGGAATAATGCCTCTTCTTCGATCTCAGGGATGGTGGGAGACAAGCCGCCTTCTGCTGGCTTCGGAAGCTTTCATAGGTTTCCTCCCACTTCACTGTCTAATTACATCAGGGATAGTCAACATGCTGCAATGTTGGTCAAGGGATGATGGGAGTTGTAGTCCACTGGGCCATATTGGCTGGGGCTGGCAAGAGGCAGAGTTCCAACCACTCCCTGCACCAGGCAGAGAGCAGTTCAAGGTCACAGCCACAGCATATATTTAAAGAACTCTAAACAGGCATGGCTTCCCCCAAAGAATTATGGGTGCTGTGGTTCGTTAAGGGTGCCGAGAGTGGTTAGGAGCAGTGCTTCCCCCAGGAGGTACTCAGGGGCAGGCAGCACCGGCACTTCTTTTGTTGTAATTTTAAAAATGTGGCACTTACTGTAACAGCTTCATGGCTTCTATTTTTCTAGAAAAAAAGCACTGGTCAGTAGACCCTCCAGCCCCCTCACAGAGCTGCCGTTCCCAGAGTTCCCTGGGAAAAGGGATTGATTGTTAAACCACTTAGGGGGTAGCGGCTCTGGGAGGGGAGTAGGGGTGGTCTCCTAACCACTCTCAGCACTCTTCACGAACCATGGCTCCCAGAATTCTTTGGAGGGGGGAGGCCATGGTATCATAGCTCTTTATGGTGCGGATGTGACCTTGAACTGTGGTCTACCGGGGATAGCCAGCGTGGTTGGATTCAGCATCCTGTCAGCTCCAGACTGTGGACGTCGTCTGAAGGCACAAGAGGCCACCAACTTGATGAAGCTAAGTACCGTATTTTTCGCTCTATAAGACGCACCAGACCACAAGACGCACCTAGTTTTTGGAGGAGGAAAACAAACAAACAAAATATTCTAAATCTCAGAAGCCAGAACAGCAAGAGGGATCGCTGTGCAGTAAAAGCAGCAATCCCTCTTGCTGTTCTGGCTTCTGGGATAGCCGCGCAGCTTGCATTCGCTCCATAAGACGCACACACATTTCCCCTTACTTTCTAGGAGGGAAAAAGTGAGTCTTATAGAGCAAAAAATACGGTAGGTCTGGCTCAGGTCAGGCTGGCATGTATTGATGACCACCTGAGAACCACACAGACGCCACCTCGGGGAGGGTTCCACAATGGAATAAAGCTTTTTGATACCCACGTTAATAAAATAAAATAGGTCAGAAGCAGCAAGATTTTAAGCCTGGGGAAAGGCATGATGATGATGATGATGATGATGATGATGATGATTATTACAGTGGTACCTCTGGTTGCGAACGGGATCCGTTCCGGAGCCATGTTCGCAACATGAGCAGAATGCAACCCGCGTCTGCGTGTGCATGGGTCGCGATTCGCCGCTTCTGCACATGACGTCATTTTGAGCGTCTGCGCATGCACAAGCAGTGAAACCCGGAAGTAACCCTTTCCGGTACTTCTGGGTCACCACGGGACACAACCTAAAAAGACGTAACCTGAACCGAACGTAACAAGAGGTATGACTGTATTATTATTACCTATGGTATCCGAATGCCTGTGCTGCAGGGTCTTTGGGTGCTTATAACAAATTACCTTGGAAAGCTGTGGCAGGAATTGGGCTAAGGTCTCCCCAACCCCTGAAGCTCCAAACCTCAGAAGAAAGAGAGGGAAGTGTGGCGAGTGAGGGGATGTTACGGAGGATGAGACGGGCCTGTCAGTCCATTAGCTCAGGAAGAGAGAGGAACAGCAGAGTGCTGCCTGGGCAGGAGACACACATGGCAGCTTCTACAAAGCTTTGGGGAAATGGCAGCGGGGGGCAGGGGGTGCGCCCTGAAATGCAAGTGCGAGGCCAGGCCAAAGGGCGGAAGGGCCATGGGAAGGAAGCGGCGGGAGGCATTAGACTCAGAGAGGAGGTGGAGGAGGAGGAGGAAGAGGAGGAGGAGGGTGGGGAGAAGGTGCCCTCTGCTCCCTTGTGAACAGTGGGTGCAGGGAAGGAGCACCCCAAAAAAATTCCACCCCATTCCATCTCCAGAAAAATAGGGGGAAACAGTGCTGCGCCATTCCAGCATTGGAATGGCTGTTTTCTCGGGGGGGGGGGGGAAGAGTAAGGAACAATGCAGCAGAATCAGCTGGAAGGGACCAGAGGGTCATTTAGTCCAACCCCCTGCAATACAGGAAGCGTAGCTAAGTAGTTCACAGGTCTAGGAGGAGGCACCAGAATTCGGAGCAGAAAAGGGATTTCCAAACTGCCCACGAACATGTGAAGCTGCCTTGGTAGAAGACAGAGGAGGGGGAAAACTCCGGGCCTACAGGTCCCTTTGGCTCTACCCATTGGCCATGCTGGCTGCTGGGGTTGATGGGAGTCGGAGTCCTCAACCAACATAGGGAGGACTGAAGGCCCCCACACTTGGTAAAAGGTGACCCCTTTTCTCCTCGGTCCATGCAGACCAGCAACATTCCTTCTGACCAGCGGTGTCTCTCTTATGCTTTGCAGAGTGAGGCTTGGTGAAAAAGCACCGAGAGAAAGAGCAAAAGGGTTGTGTGGGTGGGCGCCTTATCAGTGGTGTTAAATGGCTGAGCCCTTCAAGTAAGGATGTAACATCAAACGCATTTCCCTGAACGTGGAGCTGTTGCAGAACAACGCAAGAGCCTGAATTTTCACGCAGATGGAAAAGGAAATGAGGGTCAATTCCAACCTCCCGCCCGCTCCCCCAAAACAAGCTGCAAGGCGGTAACTGGGCAGGAGCCACCCAAAACTCTGTGCCCCCACCCCACCCTTCCAGCTTTTTGCAAGGTTTAGGAAATCGGTGGGACTGACCTGTCAGCTCAGGGAGGACTGGGGCACTCGGGAGGGGGGTCCTCTCTACCCGGAATTCTAAAAATGAAAGGCAAGACAACTTAGGATATGTGGTCAGTTTCGTCCCCGAAAGAGAGGATCCAGCAGACAGAGCGGAAGGGGCGGGGGAGAGAAGAGGCGCAACAGCAGAAAACACAAATATTCTGGGTGGGGCCAATCCTCAGAGTTGCTGCCTGGACTTGATAGAGTAGGGAGCAGGTGAGAAAAGACCCACCACTGCTTTCAAAACCGGCACCAGGTGCCCTGGCTCAGTATGGCCGCCTAAATAAAGGATTTCCCCCCTTTGCAAACAGCAGCAGTGTGACCTGCCTCAAAGGCTTCTTGTGATCCACCCCCCCCCCATTGAAGCAACAAATTATTTTTCATTCCTTGAGATTTGGAGCCCGTTAGATTTTTGATTGTGAGTCTCAATTAATATCCGGCTTTCAGATGGTGCGGTTGAGGGCTTTTGTGTTCCGGTTTTCAGGAAGGCGGCAACTCTGGGAGGGGGTTTGAGGTGGGTGTTGAGGATCAGAAGCAGGGAGGGAAGGAGGGGCTTAGAAAAACAGATTGAGAGAGAGAGAGAGGCTTGCAAGCTGCCCTTTCTAGGACTAACAAGTTTCCAGGGAGAAGGGGACCAAGGAGGAAACCACAACATCAGCGTCCTGCTCCTATTAAAACCTCAGAGGTTTCTCTCACTTCCTTCTTGGGTGGAGACAATTGGCAAAAGTTTAGAGAGGTGGCGGCGAATCCCCTTTTCAGCCCGAGGGCCACATTCTCATCTGGGCAACCTTAGCACATGTTGCTGGTAGGCGGGGCCAGAGGCAAAAGTGGGCGGAGCAACAAGTGTGAATCTTATCTTTGTGTCGTAGGCTAGTTTCTACACACACTTGCATGGATCCCCTCTATCTCCATCCAGATGAGAATGAAGCCTTATCAGAGTCCCAAGGACTAGGGAGAGGGTGTGTGGCTAAGGTAGAGTTCCAAGGGCTGAAGGTCCTCACGGGCTGCATTAGGACTCCGGGACTGAGGTCTGTCATCCATCCTCCACCGCCCGCCGGGATTGTAGGGATGAATTTTGGGGTCACTGGGAAGCCCACCCTTAGCACAAAGGCACAACAACTGAGAAAAGGGAGAGAGACGTACCAGGGAACTGGTAAGTGTAGCCAGGCGCAATGCCCGTGTAACTTCGGCTGGCGTAGGTGGCAGCCTGAAAACCTGGGTAACCTATTCCCAGAGACAAAAGCATTGAGAAAAGTTAGATTATTTCACAGCAAGGCACACACACACCTGATTCACCCCGGATTCCCTCATTCATGAGAGGCAGTAGAAGGGATCTTCTAAATGTCCGGATCTTGCTCTCCTCAATCTTTTCATGGGAGACAATATTCACTCAGAGTTCAAACCTTTAATTAGTTGTCCTCTACTAGCAGCCAGGCTCACAATAATGAGACACTGGAAGAACTTAACAGACTGCTTCGCTGACATGTCGGCACAACAAAATTATGGCAAAACAGCACTTGTGGAAAAATTAAGATAAGAAGAACAAAGAATCTTTCGGCACATGTTTACTTAGTACAGTCATTAAAGGATCCTGTGCTGTGTTCCAAACACCTTCAAGCGGAGCGAGTCTCTGTGCTGCACCTCTGCATGATTTTTTAAAGTGCTCTGGCGGCGCCTCACCTCCTTTAAACAGGAAACAGCGTGTGCAGTTCTTACTTTTGCACCATGCAAAAGGAATGCTCTTCATGCGCAAGAGCAATGTGTGTGTCAAATTTTAATCTGCAGGGGAAGGTGTACCTCCTGTCGGTGAGTCAAAATAAAAAAATAAAAAATCCTTCCTGTAGCACCTTAAAGACCAACTAAGTTAGTTCTTGGTATAAGCTTTCGTGTGCATGCACACTTCTTCAGATACACAGGAGGTTAAGAGTTTCCCCTCCTTCGTGGGGAAACTCTTGCTCTAGCACTGGAATTATCTGCAGTGCGCCCATGCTGCCAGAAGAGGGCAGTGTAGGATGACAAATGCCCGCCCGCCCAAATGTTATTACCCCCATCACAAGACTCTGACATCAGAGAGCTGATCCTTACACAACTCGGCACAGGTCTTAACGCAGGCTGCCTGCTGCAGAGCAATAACGGCAGAGAGAAAGAGTAAGGGGGCAGTTAAAAGAGAGCTCCTTTGCCATCCTTACCCAACATGCCAATCCCGAGCATGAAGGCGTCCATTCCGTAAGGCATCACCGGGACCGCCCTCTTGCAGAGCCAGTGGGGGACATCACTTCCTTTGGCTGAGCTTTTTTACATTCCACCTGGCATGGGACACAGAAAGGAGACAGCTTGTTTGACAGCCCCCCCCTAACCGTGTAGGATAGGTCAGCTTGTAGAGCAACCCCTCACTTCACAATCCCGGAGTCAGATTTACAAGCAGAAGAGCTTTCTTCAAGCCCAGCCCTGTAAAAATTGCTGCATCCCCCCCTCCCTTCCATAGCCATGCCCGCAAAACCATTCCCCAACTTTGTGCTGGCTGCGTCCGATTTGAATTGCCATCCAAAACTTCTAAAGGGCAAAGACGGCTCCGTTATTTTCTTTTTATGTCTCCTTTCTAAGCCACAAGAGGCTGGTTTCTCGTCACGACATCTTAAAAAAAGTTTGCCCTAAACTAGTTTGGATCCAACCGTTCTTTGCACACAGCATTTCCTGCTTGGATTCTTCCTGCTCATTTCCACCCCGTCCCCTATTAAATGTGTAACCCCATTGCCACTTCCTCCTCCTCCTTCCCCCTTACAAGGCTCCTGTGGCTCTTCAAAAGTGGTGCAACTGACAGAAACACAATGGGTGGAGTGTTCCCCTTCACTGCATCCCCATATTTGGGTGGTGGTGGCTGCCCCTGTTGAATTACCACCTGTCATGCAACTTTTAAAGGCATGTTAAGTCCTGCCAGAATAAAATAATAAAAAAAATCAGCAACTCCAATCTAGTCAAGTTTTCCCAGTGCACGTATAGTTGACAACACTAGGAATCACTGGTCACATAGATCATAGACAGGTGGCTGTGCTGTGCGATAGGAAGGGAGACCCATCTAACACTTCGTATACACACATATTGGAGAATCCACAACCCAACCTCCCTCCTCCTAACCATTTTGTTGTTGATCTCATGGAAGTGGATCTCGCAGACTTTCTCCACAATGTCTTCACTTTCGAATGTGACAAATCCAAAACCTGAAAGAGAAATAAAGCAGTTATGGCCTGGTCAAGATGCTGCAGAATCATATTCTATGGCAGAATGAAGGCCAGGCCAGGATCCTACCCTGCTCAGGTCCTGTCAGAATGTCAAGACACAAACACAACATGCAAAGAAACCTGCTGGATCAGGCCAGTAGCCCATCCAGTCCAATTCTCACGGTGGCCACCCAGATGCCTTAATGGGGAAGCTGTCTAGCAGGACTCAAGAGCACTCTCAACCACCTGCTGTTTCCAGCGACTGGTATTTAGGACTACTACTACTGCTTTGGACTTGGACTATAACTCCCATCAGCTGTCAGGAACTGATGGGAGGTGTATTCTAAAGCCTCTGGAGGGCACCAGGTTTTCAAAAGCTACCCCACCAGATTTCACCACATGTGTGAATGCAAGGCAGGCAGGTTGGGGGGGGGAAAGGAATTTATTTGCTTCCTGTGCAAAACATAGCTTTCAACCTTGCCACATGCAGAAAGCCAAAGTATTTCTACAGGTAGGCTTAGTGTTGTCCCTTGACTGAGGAACTGCGGGGCAATGGGGGACCTGTTTAGTCTGCACTTGGGTCTCCATAAGCAGTTTGATCTGCTGAAGCCAGCAGGCAAAAAAAGCCTTTACAGCACTAAGAGGGAGGCACCACACCGCATGGTAATGTGTTTAAAAAGTCACAGATGTTGGAAGTGACTGGAAAGTTGGCAACCCCTTCAGGTAGGCTGAATATGAGGCAGTGTGTGTGTGTGTGTGTGTGTGTGTGTGTGCGCGCGCGCGCGCACGGATGTGTTTTTAAAACAACAAGCAACTACCCTTTATCTCTCTGCTGAGGCAGCGTGAAAACATCAACAAATATGTCTTATTATTTTAAATCATTTTGTAGCGGAGTCCCACATCAGGGAAAGCAAGCAGCATCCTAGACCAGTGGTTCCCAAAGGGGGCAGTGGATTACCCAGGGGAGTGCCAAGCAGGCAAGAGGGTGGCATGGGATGTAAATGACCACCGGGCTTTGAAAACTTAGCATCACTGGCTCAAGTCCACCCATTTTCCTGAATTCATTAAACTAAATGGTTTTTATTGGATTTTGAATAAATGTGCAATCAACTGTTTCTGTTTTGAATTTCATTGTGCTGTTATATTCCTTAGTGAGTCGTGCAAACAGTTATTCTGAACAACACTCTTTGCAGGGTAAGGTAAGGGGAATGGAGATGAGTTTATGGAGCCAAGAGGCTGGTTGGCCAAAACAGTTTGGGAACAAAATGTGAAAGATGAAAGCAAGGATGACCTATTCTTGATTCCCAAAGGAGTCCGGCATCTAGGGGCTGGGGGCGCTGGGTAATATCAGTCGTCTTCAACCCAGAGGGCGAGCCTTGCCTTGAATGGCACAACACCCACCCACCACCAAGCAGGAGAGTGGTCTGCTGCCAGCAGCCTGCAGAAGGCTCCCTGCTCTGTAACCAAACTCCCCAAGGGAGGCTCTGGGAAAAGGTGACCTAGGAGTGGGAGCAGCCGCCGCCGCAGCCCCAACCCCCCCGTGCTGCGGCAAAGGAGGAGAGGCAGCCTCCTGGCTTTCGTGTCAGCTTCCCCGGGGGCTCAAATTACTCAGGACAAGGTAAGACACACAGACAGATGGAGCCACGTAGGTGACCAGGGAGGGGAAGGGGAAGAGGCTGCCCCCGCCGGCAAAGAGTTACACGGCACAGGAAGCAGGCAGACAAAAAGCCCTCTGTGCTGAGAGGGGACGCATCGGGTAAAAGGACACGGCTGACGAAGGAAAGTGAATCTGGAAGGAAGAGGCTGGAGGGAAGGGGGTGGGAAGGAGCTGCAAGCAGGGTGGGGCAGGGCAGGAGGGCGGAGGCAGTCGCAAGTGGGGCCTGGGTTCCCATCAAACACCCCGAAGCCTGGCTCCTCAAAATACAGGGCCTCACCTCGGTGCCTGTTCGTGGTCTTGTCAAACATGAGCATTGCGTCGTCCACCTGCAAGAGACAAAGATGGGGGGGGGGGAGTGAAATTGAGTTTGGGGTCGGAAGGGAACCGGTTCCTAGACTTAATCCCCCGAAGCCTTAGGTCTTCTCTGCCTATCATCAGGCAAAGCAAGGCAGCTGGATCCAGGTACAGTCATACATCATGTTACATTTGCTTCATGTTAACGTTCTTTCAGGTTACGTCCTGCGGCGACCCGGAAGTATCAGAAAGGGTTACTTCTGGGTTTCACCGCTTGCGCATGTGCACAAGCGCCAAATCACACTGCGCACCTGCGCAGATACGGCACTTCAGGTTGCGCTCTTTTCATGTTGCGAACAGGCCTCCGGAACAGATCCCGTTCGCAACCAGAGGTACCACTGTATCTAGGTTTCGGGTGCTACAAAAGGGCAGCCAAGCACCAAAGCTCTTTCACTGTCTCTTTAAAGGGAGAGAGGCGCTTGTAGGATTCCCCCCACAAGCGCCCAGATGTCTTGAGATGGGTCCTGGGACAGCCTGCGCTGCCCATGCCTTTCGCCCCCATCCTGCCCAAATCTTACGCAGATCAGCCCCTTTGCTGGGCACTTCTGGATATTGACATTGGTCACCCAAATCCCAAAGAAGTGGAACTGCCCTAAATGGCCATCAATCATTCATTCAACAAACAAACAAATAAAACCATAGTAACCTAGAAAGCTCCTTTAGGCAGAAATCAGACCATTTGTCCGTCTAGTTCGGTATTGTCTACATACACTGGCAGCAGTTCTCCAGGGGTTCAGGCAGTGTTTGAAATTAGCCAGGTGCCAGACGCATTTTGCACCTGGCTACTGACCACTTGCAACCAAGGGAAGATGCCTGGGCACCAGGATGATGCCTGACATCTCCACCATCTGGAGGTGCATGCCTGGGAGATCATTGGATCTGGACTGTTTTCACATCCTCAGACCCCATCCTGTAGAATTCTATCAATGATATTTTATCTGCACAATCGGAATGAGTTTCTGGAACCAAATGCTTCTTCTGTGCAGCCTGAGCAGGAGCAGACACCATTAAGAAAAAGAGGTTGGAATAGGCCAATATATACATAGACTGTCCCTGGATCAAGCGACTTTTCTTCTTTAAGTTTTCAAAGCTCTTAACCTAGCTCAAGGTTGTCATCTGAACGAGCCAGATGTTTAACCAAGAATCAATGACAGTCCATCATCTGAAAAATAAGACATTAGAGCAGTCTTCCCCCTAAAATGGCAACTGGACATTCTGTTTAAGAAGCCATTTGGCGCCTAGCATATATATTTGAGTCTCCAACACTGGTTTTCGGCAGGGATGTCTCTCCTGGCCCTACCTAGAGATTAAACTTGAGACCTTCTGCATGCAAAGCAGATGCTCTGCCACTGAGCCTGTACACTGCTAACATTATGACTGCATCCAGAAAAATCCTCCAGGCCAGAGACTCCGGTTACACACGGATGATGGTTTATCAAGTGCTAACATGCCACTTGGAAATGTAATCACTTAGTAAGCTGCTCATCTGTAATGCCATTCCAAAGAGGCAAGGAGAATTCTAACACAATTTGGATTAAAAATCCAGGAAAGCAAGTGGTTCCCCACTTGGCTGGAGAGGATGGAAGCCCAGCATGTCTATGCTGTCACAAGGACACTGTACTAAGCAGGATGCAGAGGATCTTTTCGTTGGGTAACAAAGAAACCAGAGCTATGAGTTAGGATGGCCCCAGTTCAGAGCTCAAGCAGAGGTGGCCTCCAGATGTTGTTGGACTCCCAACTGCCATCAGCCACAACAACCAAAGGTCAAGGATGATGGCAGTTGTAGTCCAGACACCATGAGGGCACCACTAACTTAGACAAGTAACTGTCCCCCTCAGACTCTACATCAATGTGAGGTGTGAGGATTATTCCCAAGTAATGCCTATGAAAGACATTTCTGTTGAATAAGGCTTTCTCCCAGATGTGATCCAGCCATTTATGGAATATTAATTTCACATGTGTATAAATAGTTTTATTGTTTTATTTGGAATTTGTAGAGGTGGCCACTGAGTTACAGGGCTAAATTCAAGATGTTAATATCAGCATATAAAGACCTTAAAGAGTGCATCCCCCAGTACCAACCATCTCAGATCCTACTGCCAGCAGACAAGGCCTTACTGGTGGTGACGCCGCTGATGGTTGCTTGGTTGGCACTGACCGATCACGGGGCCTTTTCGATGGTGGCTCCCCAATTGTGGAATGCCCTCCCCTTTCTCCTTCATTATCATCTTTCAGAAGGAATTTGAAACCATCCTTTTTTACCCAGGCTTTTTGTGGATGTAGGATACTGTTCATGGCTACCCTAACATCACCAGATAAAATGATGTTCTTAACCGTAACTGCTTTTTGGAATGTTTTAACTGTTTTCAGAATGCTTAAACAAATTATTATGCATGTGTTTGCCACTCTGGGCTCCTTTGGGAGGAAGGACACAGTATCAATTGAATAACTGAATGGAAAAATCTACTCTACTCTACTGTAACTGCTTTTAGATGGATTTAATTGCAATTGTTTCTGGAGTGTAAGGAAGGGTGGGATATACAGTAAATTCAATAAATAATAACAAATAATTGTTTTGTAACTTTTTCCCCCTTCTATTTTTATTTTGTACCCTGATTGTTCATACATTCATTATTAATAATAATGCTACCCCAAACCCCTAAGACATTTGCTTCCTGCATTTTTTACTAACCATTTCTATCACACATTCAAGGCAGGTATCTACACAGCTAGGAAGGTTCTGCAGAGTGTGAAAAGGGAAAATATACATATTCCCCTTGTCTTTCTCCCTGAAACAGCCCTGTACAGCGCAGGGGAGGGTGAGGTTTGTTTGTATTTTAAAAAATATGTATTATTAACCTCACAGCACACATCTCTCACCACCCTAATCCCTCCCACCCCTCCCCAATCCAGGATGCTTACTATAATCTGTTAGGATCTTGAGAAGGCTAATTCCTTCTTCCAACCCCCCCCCTCCCCACTTCCGCTTATTCCCTCCCACCCAAGCTGACACTTGCAAGTAACCCTTACGTTCCATTTATTTCCTGAAAGCTCACAGGTTCTTGCTGGGCCATTTTGGGTGGTTGTCATTTGCTTTTTAAATCTCTCTTTTTTAAAAAAATAAAAATTAAAGCCGATATCCTTTCTGCAAGCCAAAGCAGCCCTCTACATTTATGTAGAAACCATTGACCTTCTTTTAAGCAGAAACACAGGAAGCTGCCCTTTAATGAGTCAGGTCATCCATCCATTCTAGCTCAATATTCTCTACACTGGCCAGCAGTAGCATGGCAGGTTTTCAGGTCTCTCCTAGCCCTTACCTGGAGATGCTGGGAGTCGAAACCAGGACGTTCTGCATGAAAAGCAGGTGCTCTACTGCTGGAAGTTACCTTATACCGAGTCAGACCATTGGTCTATCTAGCCCAGTGTTGTCTACACCAGGAGTAGCCTATGTGGTGACCTCCAGATGTTCTGGCCAGGCTGGCTGGGACTAATGGGAGTTATAGTACAACCACTTCTGGAGACCACCACAGCTGGCTACCCTTGGTCTACACCAACCAGCAGTGGCTCTCCAGGGTTTCAAGTCAGGGACATTTCCTAGCCCTACCTGGAGGTCCAATTGAAGTTATCTGGAAATGGATAGCCCAGTTCTGTTTCCAAACTGATATGCATTGACCCACTCAAGTTTGCTATCCAAGCAAGTAACTATTAATGAATTATCCCTCAGCAATAATCACCATATCTGCCCCATTTTCAGAGTGTTCGGTGGCCAAACGGTCCACATGCTTCTTCTGAAAAGTGGCATGATTCTGCAAAAGAGCAGGTCTGTCGTGGAGGCGAAAGCCTGGAATCAGGAACCAAGGCACCAGTTAAGGTGGCAGTTGAACAGTCGGCACCCTTGGGCCCATTCCTGAAAACTAGGTTGCTGGCCCCTTCAGTTGGCCTGAGACCAGAAGCCTGACTCCATCCCTGTGGGAGGAAGCTAAGGAAGTTGAGGAGGGTCTCGCTAGGACTGCTAACCATGCCCTGCTTCCTTGTCTACCTTGTGTCACAGGAGGACACAGAAACTGCCCTTCCATAACGTCAGCAGGCCAGGATGAAGGAGGTGGGGGGTGGAGAGAGGGAGAAGGTGCTCACAATGGGCTTTCTGTGTTCAGGGTCAGGGCCGCTGTCAATTGGCAAGCCTGGCAGTCAACGTTGCAAGGGTTTCAAGATTGACGTGCGCTGGGCAAAGAAAGCAGGGCAAGAGAGAAAAGGAGATTATCCACTTTACCAGCGGGCGTCTCGAGTAGAAGCGTCTGGCAGAGGGATAGAGCACAGGGCACTTGCTGTTCCGGCCTGATTAACCCCAAGGTAGCAGGCATTAACGTGTGCCGAGGACAGGGGCAAAACCCTCCTGGTTCCAGTGCCACCACGGCACTCTGCCAAGGCTGGGGGGGGGGCCCTCTCCAGAAGAGTTCAAGGTGGCATACCAGGCTCTCCCTCCATGTCCCCAATATTTTGTCCTCACAACAACCCTGCGAGGTAGGTCAGGCAGAAAGTGTGTGGATGGCCCAGGGTCACCCGGTGAACTTCATAGCTGAGTGGGAGGATATGAACCCTGGTCTAGCCAGACACTCTAACCACTACACGACACTGTGCACATTCAGTCACCTAACACCTTTGTGGTCTCAGTCCTGTTCTGGAGGAAGAGGTTCTCCTTCACATATGGTGGTATCATCATCATCATCATCATCATCATCACTATCACCTATTTGATTTCCTGGGGACTCACTAAAATTCTTCTTTGCTCAGATGGCAAAATGACACCCTCAAAGAACAAGCCCAAGACGAGAGGCAAGAACACTGTAGAAAGGAAACTCTGTCTTTGAAAAAGACCTAGTTAGTTAGTTAGGACCTAACTAAAAAAACCCACTGTCTTCCTGTATTAAAAAACATAATCTGTAGGCTGGGAAGACCACATAAAAGAGCAGAG